CCCCAAAACCCCAAAACCCCGTTTATCTATATTATCAAGAATTTTATAAATTAGTTAATTTGTAATAATTTAAATTAAACGAGAATATGTTTTTCAAAAATGAGAATGATTTAAATATTTAAAGTCAGGACAATAATGAACAGGATAAGCTAATTAGTGACTAAATTTCTCATTAAAATTATAAATCTTAGGCAGATTAAGAAGCAGTAGAGAATAATTAAAAAAATATTGACATAGATAAAGCATATGAAAAGGCAGGAGGGTTTGGTAGGTACTAATTGTATTCTTTGATATTTGGGATTTTCTTAATTACAAATAACTGCCTCTTAATAACTAATATCTCATACCTAGAATAATACCCTAACTTCAAATGTTTTAATGATTAAACTTAGACATGGAATGAATGTAAGCGAGATATTGCCTGCACTTTAAATCGGAAAGATTGGCTTCCAGATTATTCAAGTTAAAATAAGATTCATAACTGGGTAGAAAAATTCGATTTTTATTGCAACTCTGAATCATAAATTGCATTGTTTGGATCACTTTATCTGTGTGGTATGTTAACAAGCATGTTTTTTGTAATACCATTAAGTGATTAATATGGTAGAAAGCCACTTTTAATTTTTAATGCCTTTGCTGGTTCTATGGTTTAAACCTCATTTTTATTGACAGACAATCTCTAATGTTATTACATTCTAATGTTTATAATGGGAATAATCGTAGCTATTTACCCATGTGTTATGTAAATATACATTATGGAAATAGTTATGAAAAGACACGAGACTCTAACTTTTTCATTTTTTTAGGTATGCGAATAATTAACGTCATTAACTGGTACATTATTTTTTATGCGTCTTAATAATCATTGGGAACCATTGATTTTTATGGGTTCAATTTTAAGTGTCTTTTCATTTATGATGGTATTTTGGATAGAAGAATCTCCACGTTATCTTGCTTCAATAGGCCAATGTGAAAAGGCTTAAAAAATAATTTCAAAAATAGCTAAATTCAATAAAATTGTAATTGAAGATGATAGTTTTATTATCGAAGATACAAGTTTAAAAATTTCAGTGCAAAATGATACTAATTCTATTTTGAGATCTTACATTGGAAACAAATAATTTGCTAAAAATATGATAATATTGTTAATAGTTTGGACTACTGCACTATTTAATATTTACTTAATGGATTACTTTCTTGCAAATATTGAAGGTGATATTAACTTTAATAATATCTTGTAAACCATTGGAGTCATTTTATCATTTGGAATATCAGCACCAGTTATTAATAAAATAGGAATCAAGCCTTCATTCTTATTATTTCTTTCACTTTGCTGTTTAGCATCTGTTTTTTATATTATAGTTTCGTAAAAATCAAATATATTAGTTTCAATTTTAGTTTTTGTTAGTACATTAGGTGTAAATCCTGTTTATACTCTGGCTTTTATTTGTTCAAATATGATTTTTCCTGTTAAGATTAAGGCAACTTTGTTTTCAATATGCAACATTTTTGCAAGAACTATAACCATTGGAGCTCCATCTGTGGCTGTTATGAAAGGACCGATACCTTTTGCTACTTTTGGAATATTATCACTTATATGCCTAGTATCAACTGTATTTTTGAATTTTAACAAACTTGAAGCCCATAACTTAATTAATCAAAAGAAGGAAGTAATAACAAAAGGTTGATTAAAAATGATAAATGAAATTTAAGCATTAGATTTAATGATAAATATTTTTAGTATTATTATTTCTTATTTCATTTTTCAAATTTTTAATGTAAAAAACATTTCATGGGGTTTTGGGGTTTTGGGGTTTTGGGG